TTCCCTAACCAAACCAAAACCAGACATGGACAGTAAGACATGATTAGAAAAAAAGAAAGAAAGAAAGAAAAGAAAAGAAAACGATAGACCAATATCTGCCATAAATATAGATGCAAAACTTCTTAACAAAATATCAGTAAATAAAATTCAGCAATACATAAAAAGAGTAATATACCATGACCACACAGGCTTTATTCTAGATATGAAAAATACCTTCAATGTTTGAAAATCAACGTGATCCACCATAATAACAGGTTAAAGAAGAAAAAACATCACATGATTATATCAATTGATACCAAAAAGTCATTTGGCATAATCCAATACCCATTCACGATAAAACGTCTCAGATGAGCAGGAATAGAAAGAAAGATGCCCAATGTGATCAAAAGAGTACCGACCAAACAAACAAACAAACTTACTGCTAACACTATACTCAAAGGTGAAAGACTAAATTTTTTTTTTCCTAAGACTGAGAACAGGCAATGATGCCTTAAAAGGACGTCCATTCTTCACTCATTCAATATGGTACTGGAAGTTCTAGCCAGTACAATAAGGCAAGAAAAGTAAGTAGAAGGCATATAGATTGGAAAGGAAGAAATAAAATTGCCTTTATTTGGAGATTATTTGATTATCTACAGAGAAAGCTTCAAGAAATCTACCCCCAAAATATCCTAAAACTACTTACTGAATTCAGCAAGATCATTTGATACAAGATCAACATACAAAAAGCAATCGTATGTCTATGAGCATGAGCATAGACATACGCTTGTAATAAGCATGTGGTAACTAAAATTAAAAATACAACTTATAATATCTCAAAAAATGGATACTTAAGGGTAAATCTAACAAAACATGTACAGGACTTGATGGCTAAAAATTTCAAAATACTGGTGAAAGATTTCAAATACATGGTATGTCTCCTATGGACATGGACGGGAATGCTCCACCTAGTAAAGATAAAAGTTGATAGAAAGATTTAATGGGATTCCTATCAAAATACAACAAGAGATCTTACAGATAAGACAAGATTATTCTAAAATTTATATGGAAATGCGAAAGGAACTGGAATAGCTAAACAATTTTGAAAAACAACAATGAGGCAGAAAGATCCAGCAACCCAATTTCAAGTCTGTTATGCAGCTAAATGAATCAAGACTATGTGGTATTGGTGGAAAGATGGACTCAGTGGAACAGAATAGAGAACCGCGAAAAAGACACAGAAATGTACTCAACTTTCTGACAAAGGTGAAAAGGAATTCAGTGGAAGGATAGTCCGGCAGACAAACGATGCTGAAGGAAGTGGACATCCACAGACCAAAAAAATGAGCCTCAATGTAAGTTTACACCTTATACAAAATGTAACTCAAAAATGCATGTAGGACTTAAATGTAAAATGTAAAACTGTAAAACTTTGGGAAGAAAACTTAGGAGAAAACATTCAAGATGTAGGGCTAGGCAAAGACCTGACGCCAAAAGCGTGGGTCATAAAAGAAAAAAACTGATAAATTGACAGAATATCTGTCCTGTCCTTACCTTTTCATGTACAAAGTGAAGGATTCACTTTCTGGGGTTTTTTCCATTTTTTAAATACATTTTAGTGGAGCATGTACAATGGCAGGCCCTGCTGAAACCGCCAGAGAAATGGTAGTAAACATTACAAACTAGGGAGGGAGGGAGGGAAGAAGAAAGAAATTCCTGCCTTTGTAGAACTTACAAAGTACTGGGACTGTGCAGATGACAGGTGAACTACATACTACGTTCAACAGTGATAATCACTTTCTGGAAAGAAAAGGAGGGGACACAGAAAAGGAGGAGAGGACGTGCTAAGGGAGGGGGTGGGGCTTTGATTTTGAAAAGAGGGGTCAGGTAAGTCCACATGGAAAAGGTGACATTTTGAGCCAAGGTTATTAGGACCTGAGTGAGGAGGCCTCGCAAATGTTTGGAATTTTGGATGAGCACAAGACAGGATTCAATGGGCAGACGTCTGGAATGCGCTCCACACAATACCTGGGACACAGAAGGTGTTCAAGTAAGAGACACAGAAGGAAAAAGAAAAAGCCCTCGGCAAGGCGTTACCAGACCTAGCAGAACACATTCTACCCACAAGACTGATAAGACAGGTGGTTTCAGATGTAATAAAAAAAATAAAAAATGAAGAACAGTCAAGAAACCACTGCCTAAGCACTCTGCTAAGACTTCATCACAAAGTGTGACCTGCGGTTCAGCAGTATTAGCGTCACCCGGCAGCTTGTAAGGAATGCAGATCCTCAGTCCCACCCGGGACCTGCTGCATCAGAATCTCTGGGGCTGGGGCACACTCACCAGCCCCTTAGGGGATTCTGATGAGGTTTGGATTCTGAGAACCACAGGTCTAGAGGGAACACAAGCGCACTTACCCCGTGACCTTGAGGATGACACTCAAAGCAGTGCTTCCACGTTAGCTCAATCCTTAGCCCACAGTAAAATACTCAGAGAATTCAGGCAGCCCTGGGACTCAGACCCACCTCTGTTCGCCTCCAAGCCTCTCGTCCCTTCTGCAGCTCTCACACCTTTCCTTGCCATCAGTGCAAATACGCAGCAAAGGGGGAGTGTTCCCTTGACCCTGGGGCTCCCTGCACCCTGGGGTGTGTTTCAGGTCCAGCATCCCCATGGAGACCACAGAGTTTGCAGTCCCTTCTTGGAGGTTACAGGACACACAGTTACAAATAGAAAAGACAGTATCCTGCTCATCTTAAGGTCAAATTTTTGCTTATAATTTTTTTTTTAAAACCAAAGAGAAGACAACTTCAAAAGAAATCCATCCTTCATCTGAGCCTTCACAGGTCTGCTGATTTCTGCAGGCTCTGGCATCGGCACGTCTGTTAGCGACACTGGATGATGGCCCGTGTTCTTCCCGGACCCTCCCGCACCCGAGGCAGCCCGCGGCCCTGCCGGCCTATTCAGTTTGTGCAGTGGAGGGGACACAGTTCCGGGGGTTAAGAGCTGGCATTGGGGCACGCAGAAGCCCAGCCACCCCCCGCCAGGGACAGTCATTCAGAGCCCCATGTAGGGCTCTTTGTGCGGTGGGTGAGGCTCCCTGCCGCGGGGTCCGGTGACTCGGAGTGCCAAGGGCCTCAACTTAATTAACTTCTCCGGGCCAGGACTCTTCCATCTCAGCCCACATCCTGCTTCGTGGGGCGGCGGGACGAAGGTGCTCTCCTGCACAGGCAGAGGCCAGGGACCTTAGTGGGAGCGCTGGCAAATACAACAGGGCCAGTGGCATCCTCATTAAACTCTGATTAGCAAGTGGATTTGATCCAGGCCAAATCAGAGCTGAATGAGATTTCTTTCTTTCGTCTTCTTTTTTGGCTACCAGTTGATCAGATGTAGGCAATTAAGAACCCCCACACCTCCAGCCCTTGTATTTTTTTGAAGCGGGGAGCTCATACCAGTCAAGCCATAAAGACACCATTGTCCTAAGAACAATATTCCCCACTAATCTCACTTCTGGCAATTTACTTTTTCTTCCCAAGCAGATTTAGAAACTCAAAAAAAAAAAAAAATCCTTGAAAGGGCGCAGGGGAGGAATACTGCACGGTGTCTAATCCCGTCGCAAAGTGGGGGTCTTCTCGCTCCATTCAGCTTTTCTTTGAATGAGCCCTGGATAAATAAACTTCGACCGCATCGCCACATTGACGGGGAGACCGCGAGGACCCAATTACGCATACGGGGCGTGTGCATTCGCGTTTGCAAATCACACACAAAGGGGGCAGCACAAGTGCTCCCTTGTAATCGGCTCTCACTGCAAATTTACCAACCTGCGAGGTGAGATCGGCCTTTGTTAAGCGTTTAAAAGCAATTATTACCTTTCTTTAATTTTCTGGTGGTAATTAGGCTCCTGAATCCAGTCCAACCTGGTCTGTGCCTGGAAGGTGCCTTGCTGCTCTCTGTGGCCCAGGAGGGTGAGGTGCAGGGGATCCTTGGAGCCAGGCTTGCAGGGGTGCCTGAGAACTCCACAGCTTTTTCAGCCTGGGGCCAAGAAGTCTGACAGGCAGACACTGAGAAGCTGTGTCCTTTTTGCCTATAAAGAGAGGAGATAAAAGACCACGGGAGAAGAGAGATGTGCAGAGAGCAAAAGGAAAGACAGACTCAGGGTGGCGGGGAAATGAGGCCACAGAAACTTGAGACAGAAAAAAAAGGCCGTGAGGATTATCTAAAATGAGGTAAAAAGGAGAGTCACCTCGTCATTGTTACTGCGTTGGCACTTTTACACTCACAGCATTCCTGGTGATGAGCCCGGCGCCTCTAGGCACCCAGGCTTCAGTGCCTGTGGGCTCTTGCAGTGAATGAAGAAGCTGAGTCTCTCCGAAAAGAAACATCAAAGGGGAAAGAAACAAGAGAATCCAAAAGCCTAAAGCTATACCTTTCACCAGGCCCTAAAAGGTCAACCAAGTTGGCAGGCAAGAAAGACCCAGGAAAGAATTGCCAACAGCCCCATCCTGCCTGGATCCTGCGTGGACCCTCTGTGGCCGGGCTGGGGATTCCACTGCTCATCTCACGCCCTGTGACAGTGCAGAGCCCAGCACCGTTCCGAATGGTCCGATCCATCTCCTGGAGACCAAGGTTGACAGATTCTCCAAGCTTCTTATAAGGACAAACTACTCTTCAATTGCTGAGCTTGGAGGACAGGATGAGTGTGCCCATGTAAGGATCCGGAGGGGGTCCACTGTGCCTGGTGAGGGAACTAGACTGAAGTCAGAGGTAACCTGTGTTACTATGGAGGGAGCCAGGGTAGGAAGGATGCAAGGTGGGCAATCTCACCAGTGTCCAGGGAAATCCGAGACAGAGGGCAGTTTCAGGGCTGTGAGCCAACAAGAGGTGGGAGCTGCCCTCTGCTCTGTGGATGCAAAAACGATACCATTTCTCATCAGGTGATCATTCTCTCCCTGGCTGGAAGTACAGAACCTCTCCCTTTTCTAATGTAGGGTTTTAAGTCATTTAGATCCTGGCTTGGTACTTACCAGCTGTGTGCTGTCGGTAAAATTCCTTCATCTCTATGAGCTTTAGGGTTTTTTTCTCATCTGTAAAATAAAGAGAATCCCTCCTTAAGTGCACTAAATAAAATTAACTACGTAAGTAACTTAACATGTACGTGTGACAGACAATAAATAAATAAACTTACGGCAAAACTGGTCCAATAAATCATTCATTATGTTTAGAAGACTGAGTTAAAAAGAGAAGCAAGTGGTAATTCCAAGAAAAATAGCGATGTAACTGATGGAGAAAATAGACAGCTTTAAATGTAGAGAGAGAGATGTGAAGGGATCGCTGAAGTTCACAGTCCAGCGTACTGCAGGGTGCATGTCACTGCAGAGTGACGGCAACGTGGCTTCCACCCAGTCTCCAGTGAGAGTCCACGCTTGCTAGGAGCTGTGAATATGAACAAGCACCTCATCCAAAAGACTTCCCATCTGGGGGGACCTCAGCAATGTTGCTGCCCTGTGAGGCAGGAAGCAATAAGAGGCAAAGGAGTTGAACAAAGAAACGCAGGGGTGCAATGAGGAAGGAGAGAGTAGGTCCAGATAGGAGGGTTAGGAGAGCTTTAGGTGGGAGCTGGCATCAAACCAAGGCTTGGAGATAGGTAGGAAGAAGAAGAAAGGGCATTCTGAGAGGCGGGGATGGAGTGAATGCAAGAAATGCAAGGTACACCTGAGAAATGGTGAGCGAGAGGAGGCTGCTTCAGTGGGTTAGGTGACAGGAGAGCTCATCCATTATGATGGGCTGGACCTTTATGTTGTCTGTGATGAGCGGAACGGAATTGCTTAAGTAATGTCACTCCAGGAGCATACGCGTGGGTTGGAGATGGGGAGGTGCCAACGGCTAGGGGCCAGCGGACCCCTTTGCAGCAAGAGGGACATTGTAGGACAATGGCCTACAGCAGGGCAGTGGAAATATGTATAAGGGTGTGGATATGGACACACACAGGAACTGTCCTCTAGAGGACTGGCCATGTGTTGAATGTGAGGAGTGAGGTAGAGGGAAGAGTTGTAGATAGTGTTAAAATCTGAGCCCAGATGATTATAGACCAAGTACACCACAAATACCAGAAGAGGAAGGGAATTGGGAGGGCCGACATCCTGAACTTGGGACCCCCTAAGTAGGAGATGATAGCATTTCAGCCAGTCACTTGTCAGGTGCTGCCATTGAACACATGACTTTGAATCTCACTAGAGAAATTAAGCCTAGAGACCTACCTTGAGACTTGGGCTAATCAGGGTCAAGTACAGAAAACAGAAATGTGTCCAGGTCTCTTAGACAAAGGGAATTTAATGCAGAGAATTAACACAGAGATGATGGAAGCGCTGAGAAGCCAAACAGGAGAGGTGAAGACCAGCTAGAAATGAGAACACTAGAAAGATGACACCTTCCCTGAGGCTAAAGGGACAAGGCGTGAAGGAGGGGCCATCAGTGCCCCCAAACACTTGAGGCACCTCGCAGGAGCTGGACACGGAGCAAGATGCTGTTCAGCAGAGAATGAGGCATCGCAGAGACCGTGTGCACAACAAGGAGGGATCCTCTCATTCTTCTCGCCTGGTGCGGATGGGCTGCTGAGCTAGAATGGGTGTCCTGGGGCAGAGGAAAGAGCAGGTGTGACGGTGCCTTGGGGAGAGATGGAAGGAGAGCAGATGCCATAGGCAGCAGCAAACCAGGGCTGGGGAAACCAGAGGAGGGTGTGCACGGCAGGTCAGGGACAGAAAAGGTGCCTGCAGGCCCACCTCTCGCTGCGGGCCTCCACGAAATGGTGCCCAGCAGCCTCCAAGTGCAAAAGCTGGCTGGATGGCCCTGCCCCACAGTCCCCACTGCTGGAGCTCCCCACCGTCCTCAGGCCCCAACACAATAGAGTGGCCTCGTCCCACTAGTGCCATTTACCACTGAGGGACTCTGCACCCATTATGTCCCTGCTACCCAATTCAAAGAGATCATCACGGAGCTGCAGGGCACCCATGATTGTAAGATATTTGTGTATGGCCTTTTTCTCACACTTCTCTCTTTCTCTTCTTTAAAAAAAAAAATCTGATCATCAGTGCTTTTTAATGCTTTTCTAGAGATATTCATTGAAAGAAGTTAAGAAGCTTCTGGAAAGATAAAGATTATAAAATGTCATATCCAGGGTGACATCAAAGGTCATCTAATACAGTGTTTTCCAAGCAGTTCTGGTCTTAAGCATCACCTGGGCTTTTATGAGAATAACAGAAGAAAATGAATCAAATGCACTTAAACCACTGAAAAAAAAAAAAGACTAAAAAGAAAAGGCACAGATTCTCAGGTCTTAATTCAGATCTACTGAATCAGAACCTCGAGGCGATGCTTAAGATCATAAGACCATGCAAGGGTGGGGAACACTGACTTAATCCAACGTTTTATTTAATCAACATTTCAAAGATGAGGAGGCCCAGAGAGACGAGGCACTTCCCACAAGTTCACAGCTAATCACTGGGGAAAATAGGATGAGAGCTCAGGAGCCCACCCTCCCAGCCCAGTCTACTTTCTGATGCAGTTTCCTGGGAGAGGAACGTGCTGTAGGCGGGGAAACCAACGTACTGATGGAGCAAGAGTTTCAGTGTTGCTTTCCCTGAAGCGTGTTTTTCACTACCAATCTGTTCATGTTAAAAGATACCAACTTTTCCAACACCTCTCTGGGCGTAGTTCAGAGAGCAGGCTGACACATGGACATGCGCGTGTGTGTCTACACATATGTACACACCCACGGCCCAGCACTAGCGGGTGATGAGGGAACATCCGGGGAAGGAGCAGCTGGTATTATCTCAGGGACTGGCCAGGCTGCTGGTTTTCTCATCGGGGAAGTTATGGCCATAGATCTTCTCTGCTCAGAAGGAAGACTCTAACTCTGAAGATTCTGAATCTACAATGGTAGGAGCGCCGATCTGCTGGGCTTTCCAGGCCTGCCACGTTAAGGGAAGGGTTTCTTTTGTAAAAACCTGTGAATGGTTCTTTTACCGGCGTTTCCCCAGCGAGAGTGTGGACGTGTTAGAAGAGCTCACAGAGTTAATTAAGCACCCCTCCCTCCCTCCCTCCTGTTTGCGCAGCTCATTCAAACACATAAATGCCACTCCAAACAACCACTAAATCTACAGAGGCTTGTTCTGGCTGTCAAACACAGCCGTAAAAATAATATGCCCTCCAGCAGGGGAGGGGAAAGCTAGGGTGGCAAAGTACTCACTAATTTTCAACAATCCCTCCTTAGAGACATAATCTTCAAATAAATATTTAACTTGCTCTGTCTTTGGTCTTAGATTATTTACAAATCAGGCTTTAAAGGCGATTTAAAATGATCCTTCCCTGAGCTATTTGCACACCTAGGGTTGCCCCGGGGTGGGAGTGAGCCTTCCTGGAGGCGGGAGGCCGGTCTGGGTGTCCATACAAGGCCCGCCAGCTGGCTGAGCAGGAGGGTTGCAGGCGGTGGGCAGGCGGTGGGCAGCCTGGGCGTCTCTGTCTGGCCCCGGCACCCTCCTGTCTTTGGGAAGTGAGGGCAGGGGCCGGCCTGCCTGCCTGCAGATTGTTGCCATTTGGGGCTCTTAGAGAAAAATGGGAGGCAGAATCTCCGTCTCAGAGTCATTAAGAGGAGAACGAGGCAAACCCTGACTCCTGGGACTGAGAAGTTGGAAAAGACATTCTCTGTGGGAGAAGCTGGGCGGCTGGCTTGTGGGCAATTAGGAATGGGTCTGCGTTTGGCCCAGGACGTAGAGATGAAGGGTAATTTGGAGGCCTTCAGACCCTTGGAGGACATTTTCCAAGAACACCTACAATTCTCAAGAGGTTAATAGGTGGTCCAAGGGAAAAAGAAACTTGTGGTTGTGTAAGTATGAACCCACAAGGGTGAACCCATGTGTGTTCCTTTTGCTGGAGACACACAAGCAGGGGTTGGCAAATTTTTTTCTCTAAAGGGCCAAACAGTAAATATTTTCTGCTTTGTGGGCCTTCTGGCCTCTACTGTGGCTGCCCACCTCTGCCATTTCTGGGAAAACTAGCCACAGAGAATATGCAAATAAATGGGTGTGGCTATGTCCCAATAAAGCTTTATTTACAAAAACAGGTGGCAGGTCAGATCTGATCTATGGGCTGAAGTTTGCTGACTCTTTCACCAGAACATTAAAAGCTCTGCTTAGTCCTGAATTAAACAAATACTGATTTTCCTCTAATCCAATTTTTCCCCCCAAGCCCTTTTTCCTCCCCACCCATCTATTGACACCTTGTGTTAAAGTAGTGATCTCTGGAACAACATGGGAAGTAATATGTCAGAAATGTGCTGGGAAGGGAAACCCTTGGCCAAAAGTTGCCACTTGGTAATCTAACTACCTACTGCTGGCGCAAAAGCTCTGGTTACTTGAGGAAAAAAGTCATTCTCCGCTTCTAGATAGGCAGAAAATGAGCAGCCACAAGAACCAAACAATAATCAGAGACCAAGGGAAACCTCAGTGACGGAACCACATATCTGTCTTAAGAGGGCCCATGGCACGAGCCAGGGCACCGGGCAAAGAAGGGCTCCACGGGCAGGTCCAAGATTCCAAGATCCCAAGATCACCAGCGTTGGGGCTCACAGCCAACAAGACTGTCTCTCAAGCTCCTGAAGGTTCTCAAGGCTGCTCGGAGTACAGGGCAAAGTGCATTGATCAGGCAATCTAACTGGTTCAATGAACAATGCCAAACAACACAAGTTTATTTCTCATTCGTATGAAGTTCCAACAGGTGTCCCTAGTCAGTGGGCGGCTCTCTTCCACATAGTAACGCAGGGACCCAGGCCCTTTCTTTTTGTGACTTCATCATTCCCGGGGGCCTCAGAGTCCTCTGCTGGATCCTCTGCATGTGAGCAGCAGTCGGGGAAGAGAGAGGACGTGCAGGAGGGAGCAGAGGCCTCTCTGGACCAAGCAGCTCTGTGAACACCTCTGAACCCTGCATGGGATGCAATTCAGGGAAGCCCAAGGGAAAGAGCTAAAGAACCAAAGGCAACTTGGAGCCAGATGCACTGATTCTGTGCATCTGCACACTGAGTCTCAACTTG